GTACTATTCAAAGGGTTCACGAAATATGACTACTACTCTTACTGTTTAACATATTGGGTTACTTAATGTTACTTCATGTTAAGGCTAATAAAAATGACAAGGCTGTAATGCTAACTAACGTGCTAGCTACTAGCTAGGTAGCTAACTTGATCAAGCCACTCCAGGTCCTTTCATCAGACGAGAAGCAAAAGAACGAGCAAGACCCATTGCTGGTATAATAACAACCTGGTACTAAGCACACAGGCATCTTGTTAAAGTTATCTTATCTTAGCCAGCACCATATAGATAGATTATATCTATATATGCGCTGATTTTAGGTATCTGAATGGTGGAGGAAAACAATTGTGACATCACTTACGCGACTCTGGGATTTGTAGTCTTTCTAGTTACGTATTTTTCATAGTCTTATATTTCAACAGTTTTACGACAAACTGTGACTTTTTTGACATGGAAATTATTTTTTAAGATTGACAAACATCATATGTGTAATTCATGGCACAATTCAAACGGGATCGAAAGATACGTTTTCTCTCCCCATTGACTTCAATGCATAATTTTTCCGAAATAAGGTCCCATTATCCGGAAGTAAGTGGGCGTGACTTCGCCACTCTATTGGTTCGCAAAAGGGTTCATCTCATGAGGCTTCATCATGGGCTTCATTTGAACACAAACCCCCCTGTTGGTCAAAGTGTGTAAAACAGGCAGATTTGACATCTCAATAGTGTGCTCTATCTCATACCGAGTTCCCAATGAGTAAAGCCTTAAGGCCCTGACACACCAGGCAGTCACCAGAGAACTCGCCAACACCCGACACCGACAGTTCCATCGACGAGTTCTCCTGCGTATTGGCCGTGTGTCGCACTGGAAATCACCGCAAAGACTTCAGCCGAGCACGTACGAACTGCGCATGCGTGAGTGGCAATAACTCTCCTTACCAGCAGGCGGCGGTAGTGTGTATTCGTCATTCAAAATAGGCAACAACCGGAAGACAGAGAAGAAGAACAGACTGATATAAACAAACAAATAGCATGTGCGTTCCATTTTCACTCTCGTCCATCGAAAACATGTTTTAGAATATAAAAATACATCAATGATGAAATGAGCACATAAAGTGCAGACATACTATAAAATCACAGTTAATAGACCTGCATCTGATGATCGCAGTGTTCTGGCGGGTGTGTAGTTTATTGAGTCAGCAATGTAATAATGGCCACTTCTTGCTAAATTTACGATGAGATGAAAAACCGGACTTGACCAAACAAATCACGGAGCTCTCAGCAGAGGACAGCCGGGGACGCTCCCGCCGATATCAGAGATGTCCCTGCTATGTGTGGGAGGTAAGAGAGGACATGTCTTTAAGTATCACCTGCTGGTGTTTAGCTGCTGTCTTGTGCCTTAAATCGTTTGTTTACGTCCCTCACTTCCGTTTCGCTTCTCATTTGCTAGCTGAACTGCTGATCAGAGTGGTTTCTTGGCCCGATAGCTTGTGTCCGACACCTGGCCGATTCAACATGTTGAATCGGCCGGGTGTCGACCGTGAAAGGCCAAATAAGGCGTGTCACGGCCGAGGGTTCGGGACACACCAAATTGACTTTGGGCGACAAGGAACCCGTTTTCGCCCAACAACGCAAGACGGCCGATATCGGCCTGGTGTGTAGGGGCCTTTAGAATAACTCTAAACAACAACCATAAAATCATATTTTCATGTTAACAATATTGTTTTTATTCCAGTTGAATGATTGTGATTGAAAAGCCTAAGGAGGCTGGTAAACATTGCAAAGAGGGATTTGTATTCGTTAATAATATTCATACACGTAACCATGTTGTAGCCTGAGAAAGGCTAAACCATATCAAAGAATACATTGATTAACTACATTATCTAATTTAGCTGTAGCTTTTATAAACAACAAAAAAGACGTATTGTTCAGTCGTTGAACCAGGGACCCTGAGGTCGTGAGTCAATTGCTTTCCAGCTGAGCCACAGCCCGCACACTGAATCTCCCTGAAAACACTCCATCGTATTTATTCCTGTATTTATTCATGTTCCGACCTCTATATAAGTGAGGGTCTGAGCTCTTTTAATTCCATCGTGTCACCAGCGGACCCGGGTACAGCATGGATGTATAATAAGAACTGGATACAGCGTGGGAGGCGGGGCCTCATTAATTCCTATGAGAGTTGCTCATTCGCGCATGATGATAAAATGGCCCAACTTTTGAGAGAGCGAAACGTCACAGATTACCCGGCATGCCTGAGAAGTACCCGTATGTGCGCTCATAGCGCATGCGCAACTTTAACTATGCCCCCCAAAATGCTCGTTCACATCAAGCACGTCAATTTGCGTACACGTAACAGCACCGCACGTTCATGACAGCATGGTAATGGTTTGTTATGATAGATTTGATATTAACGAGGCGGCAGTTAGCAGCTAGCGGTTAGCTAGTAATTATGCTAATTTACACATCAATCGTTATGTACTTTTATATTACGCTGTAACAGGATCTAGTGATATCCAAGCAACAGAGCTTCATTTAGCATGAAAGAATTATTGCACTGTATGTATATATACACAGTGCAATAAGCTTCTTAGTGCAATAAGAAGCTACAGGGACGTTAATCTACGTCGGTAATATTAACTTTATTTAATACAACATTTACGGTACAAGATTTAATTATACAGCCCATGTAGTATAATATTTTACAAATGATGAATTACAGCAAACATGTGCAATATATCCATTATTACAGCTCCGTGGGCTGGCAGTAAGGCGATATGGGCCCGTTCTTATTGTGCATCCATGGGTAAAGATTAGTGATGTGTCGGTCGCGAACGAGCCGGCTCAAAGAGCCGGCTCTTTTAAGTGAACGACGGGAGCCGGCTCGCGCCCGCGAACGAGCCGTTTTTTTGTTTTTGTTATTTTTTGTTAAGTAATACAAGACAGAATGATATGATGATCTCCGCGCTACAGCTGCTCCGTGCATGCATACAGTGGCATGTAATATCCAAGGATTAGAGACTGTTGCTGCTGTTTTGAGCATTGCAATACATTTATTTGTTTTATGTTTTTTTATGATTATCCTTGGGCTCAGCAAAGATTTTATTTCAGCTGTTGCTGTCTTTTTTTCTATAGTTAATACTGAAATAGAGCCCTGCTGTTTTATCAGGGCCTTTTCTTTAAATATAATTTTAAAATGTCGATACAGTAGCCCCTTTTTATAAATGTCTATGCTTAAGTTTTTATAGGTGTTGCTATCTGCTTTGTGTAGCGTGGTTCTACAAGGAAGTCTGTGCATTCATTGGGTGGTATCAGAGAGATACAAGGGTCTGTAAATGCAATGAAAACAATTGGCCACAGCAAATAATTGATATTAAACATGTAATTTTTACTTTTGAATACTTCAGTACAAAGGATGTATTGAATAATTTAAGTGATATGTGTACACATATAAATCATTAGTCAAAACAGGGTTACATTTGATTGAATTATAAAAGGTATAATATGTGGTAAACTGAAGAGCCGTTTGGGAGCCGAAAGAGCCGGCTCTTCTTGGTGAGCCGAGCCAAATTATCCGGCTCACCAAGAAGAGCCGGAATTCCCATCACTAGTAAAGATAAACGCATGTAGTGCTGAACACGTAACATGAACATGCCGGGCGGCGCGGTCCCGTGGGTTAGATGCGCGTTCATAATGCAGAGGGAAATAACTCGCAGAATAACGTTATTAGCACATTTTTACAACTTGAGGAACGAATGTTTTTAATAAGGGCTATACAAGTGTTCATACTGGGTAGTTTATTTAGTTTAAAAAAAATTATCCAACGAGTTACAGACCACTCTTTCCCCATGTAAGTCAATGGGAAAAAGTGTTTCCGGGCCTGGCAACCAAAAGGAAGTGTAGTACCGCCGTTTGGCCAGCACGAATATTTTCATCCGAGTCCGGCGCACTTCCTGGGGGCTTGGGGTACAGGAGGGGTAATATAGTTCTTATTATACATCCATGGGTATTATGAGCGTTGTGGTTCAACGGTTCAACCGATCTGAATCGCTTTCTGAAGCAGTCACGTGGTATCGACAGGCAGCGAGGCTTCGTTTGTCATCGATGACGTCACTGGCCCAAAACGATACAAGCCTCGATACATGCTTCACAAAAAGCTTCGGGGATTACTCGACACGCTCCGAAGCCTCGGCGCAATACGCAACATCACTAATTACAGCTGTTGTGTTAAATAAGATAACTTCTGATTCGTGATTAACTGTAAGCTAAGCTAACAGGTGTAAATACACTTAATGAAACCTCTGCAGGTGTTTAATCCACTCACCTCTTCTTCTTCTTCTTCTTCTCTCGGTTTTTGGCAGATTGCAAACAACTTAAAAGGTGCATACCGCCACCTACTGTACATGAGTATGAATCATCATATCATTCCATCTCTTTAACCCGGTGGTTCTCAAAGTGGGAAGAGGCATGACAGTATCCAATGTATCCAACAAAATTAATTATCGTGAGAGGCCTATACATGAAACACACACAAACAAATCTACAGACTTACTCTAAACTGCCAAATATATTAATTAACACACTCTCACTCTCATATACTCTTTGACTCTATTTTGGCCTAGTAGAACAATAAGCAGCACACTTTTACTTTTTTATCATTTCTACTGGATCTTAGATCTGCGCATGCGCAATACGGGTCGGGGATTGACCAACCGGCTCCCACTGCTCTGCTGTCTGTTAACGTTGTTAAGAGTGGTGGGGGCGGGGAGGGAGCGGATCGACAGCTTGAGCAGCTGTCAACTCAACATTGTAAATAACCAACCAAAAACAATCGCCGGTTCATCTTGTTTTTGGCGTGAGAATAGTTTGGGCAGCGTGAGAGCGTGAGATTGAGAGTGAAAGCGTGTGTCACACACGCCAGATGCGTGAGAGTTGGCAACCCTGCTTTGAAGGGGTTTAAAGATGTAACGTGACAGCATTGTGTAAGACTGGAGTCAACAGCAGTAACTTGTAGAGACCATAACACCCATTTTAATATATTTAAATGCACTTGCATATCAATAAAAAAAATGTATTCTACAGTGCAAGGAAGACAAATAGTTGAGGTGAATTCATTCATTTCAGACTTTTATGCAGTGCGTCTTTATTCGCTCGACTCTTTTTTGTACTCACGTCTCATCTTCAGTACCCTTTAAAGTTCACTCACCAAGAAGAAAGGCACTAACCATGCACAGTCATCGAGAAATACAGTGAACTGTAACTTAAAATGCAATGTTTCAATCTTGTATAAGATAACTATTAAATATGTATGCTTTGTAACGGTTCATCAGGTTTCCATGGTGATGACCTGCCCGTCTCAACTGTCTGATGGTGGACAATTCACTTCGCCTTCTCCAGCGTCTCTTCTTTCAATTTTCACAAATATGCCGTTTTTAGGTCCCAGAGTGCTTGCTGACTTCAACTCAAGAGGAACCTGAACAAAGACATGAAAACCATATGAAAAAGCAACATTTGAGCATATACTCTATATATAACCACGCATGGAAATAGATGAAAGATTATCACATTTGGACTATTACAACCTTAGTAATTATAGACAGTTCAGTTGGTGCAAATTACAATAATTTAACTGTATTATTGATAATTAATTATAAGCGCCTTTCAAGGGACCCAAGGCCGCGTTACATGGTGAACAAACAAACAAACAAAACAAACAAAACTAAAGGGGCCAATAATAAAGTAAACAAATTAAATAAATAGCAGTAGGAGTGGAAGCAGTGTTGATAAAACATGACCGCTGTGCTTTGGCCAGTGTTCTTGCAGTTCTGCTCAGTGTTTAAATGTGTCTCGTGTTAACCAATAATTTTTTAGATTTGTCGTTTTTTAAGAGATTGTTGTCCTCCTTAGTGTTGGAACCCACCTTGGTCTCAGAGCAGGCCACGATGCTGAACTTGCGGAATATACGAACTAACGCCATCTTCATTTCCAGTTGGGCGAGCCTCATTCCCACACAGTTACGGGGTCCGGCTCCGAACGGCAGGTATACGAAGGGATGTCGACTGGCCTTGGCCTCTGGTGTGAATCTAGAGATAAATGCAGGTATTTTACCACCTAACACTAACCCCAGATTTGAAACAATGAGTCACAGGTTGCAGTCTCTGTAGTTTATCTCCTGTAAGAACAGCCCTCTACCGCTCAGGGATGAAGCTCTGCGGCTCGGGCCAGTGCTCGGGGTCCTGGTGGAGGAAGCCGGCGGGGATCTCCAGAGTTGCTCCTTTGGGGAGGAACTGTCCGTTCACCACACAGTCCTCGTCGATGTCTCTCGCAAACCTGTAGAGAGCAAAATACCATAGATTTCATTTCATTTTGATTTGTTCCGTTCATGGTATGCACAAACTCAATGTATAACAAGTATTTACAAAACATGTCTCTGTAAACACACCATACCCGAAAGAGAGCAGGGAGAAGAACATAATGTATACCTGTAATATACCTTATAGTACCGGTCCCTTACTCAAAAAATAAATAAATAGAAATAGATGGTCTGTCCTTCATATTTTCTTATTAACAGCCAATCATTGCAGTATCGTAGGAAAATAAGAGAGACACAAAACGTACAAAAGATACTTAGTTCCCACTTGACAGTTAAGGGAAAGAAAAAGAAAATGCATGTATTATTCCCATAAACAATTTTTTCTTTCTCTCCTCCATTTGATTTCTGTATTATTAAATACAGAAACTAAAACATATACTGTATGTTTGTATGTAGAGAAATAGTTAACCCTGTTCATTCTGCAAAAATGATCTTATCCTCATTGAATGTTCTGGATTTACCTGAATCCTGGAGGGTAGAGGCGCAGTGTTTCACTTATCACCATGTCTAAATACTTCAACTCCTGGACATTTGTGTAATCCGCTGACTCCTACAACACAAGGAAGATAAGATCAAATCAGGACAATTTCAGTACATTTTAAAAACAGAATGAGCAAATGTGTGCACTGAATTGCGTCTGAAACTTAAATCTTGTTGTTAGTAGCTGAAGAAAATGAGATGATATCAAACCGTAAGGCGTCACACCCACATGTCTGGTGTAGAACTCGTCCACCTCTTCCTGCACTCTGCGTTGACATTCGGGGTTGATGGCCAGGAGGTAGCAGGTGAAGGCCAACGTGTTGCTGCTGGTCTCGTAGCCTGCCAGCAGAAAGACAAAAGCCTGGCCCACAATCTCATCCTCAGTGATCATCTTTTTCTGTGGGCGCATGGTGGAGGGCTCCTGTGGGGGGGGGGGGTCGTCCTGATCGGAGGCCGACAGCTGGTTCCTCTGATCCAGCTCAGCAGCGTGCTTCTCTGAGTCAAAGTGCTCCAAAGACACATGCTCCTTGCTGGTTCGTGCATCCAACATCAGCTGGAGGAAGTCTCTACGCCTCTGCATACACAAGAAACCCAATTAACTCATTTTTAAAACATTGTTAAAACTAGGAAATGGTAAGTTTTATATACAGTATACATTATCTTATAAGCTTATTAAGTGACAATGAGCTTCACCTGCTCAGGAGGCTGCTCCTCTCTCTGCTGGATGATCCTCTGGATGCTAGTCGTGAAGAAACTATTCATCTGGTCACGCCTTTTGTTTGGGATGAGTCCCGCCAGAGGAGCCATGATGAATGGGAAAGCAACTGGACACACAAATCAACTATTTACATTTAAATAAATCTATAACAATCTATTTAGTTTATGATTAAAGTTCTCCAAATGCAATAACCCCATTTATATATAGGGAAACATACCTCTTCTGGTCTATGTTTTAATATTTTGGTTACTTGCTTACATTGCATTCCTGTACAAATGCCTCCAATAAACACATACAGTATAAATAGAAATACAAAGAGATTGGACTGACTGAAGAACAGCATGATGGGCCTGAAGAAAGAGAAGCCGAAGAACATCTGAGCATGGCGGACAAACGGGTCGTCTGGGTTTTTCTGAGAGTCCACCTGAGTTCCAAATGCCACACTGGCAATAACATCCATGGTGAAGCAGCCGAAACATCTGCAGAACACACACAAACTAAAACATCAAGCCGTGAAGATGATAATATAATACTGATTGCCTGTGTTCATTCGAGTGTGATCACCTGTGGATGTCAAAGGCTTCTCCTGACTCAGCGGAGACGTTCAGGTTCGTCATCAGGGCATCGGTGGCTGTGTTGATGAGCGGAACCATCTACAGGAACAATGAGAGACACTGATACTCGTCAAAGTTGCCAGTGAATACAACACGGGTCGGATAGATTGGTGCAGAAAGAATACTGTACTCGCGAGCTGCTCATTTGGTATTGATTCTTTAAAAAAAATATTGATCATAAAAACATAAATAAAAAACATGTCCCTGCATTACTTTCCCCTCTTTAGTATGCTTGTGCCAAAAAAACTGAGATCAGAACCTAGCGCCTAGCCAACCTCCACATCAAACAGGTGTTTTTTTTATAGGGGCCCTATTATGCTTATTTTCGGAAGTAAATAAAGGACTAAAATGGAGGTGTTTCAGGCAGATTTTAGGGTTCGCAGACCATTTACACGTACAAAAACCTATATCACACACTACGGGGAAGGGAAGACCCCAAAAAGCATAATAGGGCCTCTTTAAAATGACCATTCTTTTGAAAGATCTATTGACGAGTCATGATCATTATGGGTACAGTTAAAATGTAACAAGAACGTTTGCTATTGTAAACCATTTAAATAGTTTGTGACCTACTAATCACCAATCATTTGGGAAAGGTGCCACAGACAGATAAAGAGCACACTCAGACTACTGTACGCAGTTGAAAAAGGCATTCGTAGATCAAAATAACAGTCAATACACACGCTGCATGGACGTACAGTCACACTGTGGGGATGACTATTCAAAGTTAATCCCGGCTGAAGAGAAGTTTAAAGGATAAATAGTGTGATTAAGAGGTTGATATGAAAAAGATAAAGATAGGTAATTAAATTCAATATTTTTGATTTACCAATGAAGGAAGAAAATAACTTGATCAGATATCATTCAAAGTCAAAATGTAGACAGCAAAGAGAATTTAGATGTACCATGAACTCAACACGCCTTGGAAATCATTTCTCTTTTTCAACAAAGAAGTCTTTCACTTCCTCTCCACTCCTTTCTCCTGGACTAAAATATTGTCTCCAATGATGAACAGATCTGATATTTCCTGCAGATCAAAGCAGAAGGTCTGCGCTGCCGTAAATTCATTCAGAGACAAGCTTATCAGCGGTACCAGGACACCACTCTCCACCCGTTAGATACAAAAAACACTTCTCGTAGTTACACCAACTTGAGCCTTTAGTTATACGAGAAACTGATATTTCATTATACTCATGTACATAATAATAACATTGCCCAAGTAAAAAAATGTGACCTTAAAAAAGAAACGTGGGGGAAATTATTTTAATATTTTACAAAACAGTAAGAGCTGTCTTTCCTTCAACTCTACTTCTTGCCCTCCATCTGTAACTGTTTGGATAAAAAGGTTGAACTTGTATGTCTGTGAGCTGTTTCTTGTAGACATTAATGATCTGAACTTCTATCCTGCAAATTTCAATACCACAAAAGCATTTAAGAAAGTGGCAGCATCTAATAGGCGTTCACTCTTATCTCACCTCTTTCATCTTGGCAGCGCTGAAGGACGGGGTCAGGATGCTCCGCACTCTCTTCCAGCGTTCATTCCTCAGCATGAGCAGGCAGTCTGTCATGGGCTTGGAGGCAAAGCGAACAGTCTACACAGAGAGAAAGGAGAGAACAAAAATATATGTACTTATGTCATCATTAAACCATAGAGAGAGAGCACAAAGTGTACATGGGAATGTTTTCTTTCATGTCCTCACCATTCTGTTTGGGAAGCTGCTGAAGTCCCTGACCATCACCTGTCTGAGCATGTCAGGGTCCGCTATCACCACCACCGCTCTCCGGCCCAAATAATACCTGAAATATACCAAATGGAGTTAATCTTAATGCTGCCACCATGGGTATTTACAAAAGAAGTGTAGGTTTCGTTATACAATGTGACAGAACTAAAAATGTTCAGAGCATCATTTCATCAGATGCTGATACAGAAAGTATTTCTAATATTTACCCACAAACTCTGCCATGCGTCTTTATCAGATCATTGATAGGGTTGAAAAAACCCTTAAACGAAAATAAAGAACAAGATCAAAACAGATGAAAAAAATAGCGCATCACCCATCAACTCTTTTTTTGTTGTAAAATAACTCCATGTTAGCGACAGATCACTATTTGGGTTGTTGTCAGTATGACTACAGAATGATGTGACTGTGGGAGATGTATATATTTATAATTTATAGCCAACTTGTTGATCAAAAACCTATGACAAGAACATTATATCTAACAAAACGGACAAGGATGATGATGAGGAAGGTCCCACTTCCATATCATCTTGTAGTTAATCTCCGGGAATAAGATCAACCACTTTTAAATTAGGCATTAAGATATATTATACTAAACAATCTGCATTAAAAAAGATTTCAGGATGGCTTTTGCTATTTAATGTTTTTTTTTTTAAGTAGGCTGTTGTGCAAAAACCCAAATTGATAATGGATGTTCAATTCATTACAATCCTTTTTCATAGTGCTGATCACTACCCAGCCTAGCCAGTAGAGGTCACTGGCTAGTCAAGCTAGTGCTGGTAGAAGAGTAACTAATCAGAGTGCAGTGGTGGAGGTATAAAGAGAACAGTACTAGTGCAGTAATAATGTTGGAAGGAAGATTTTGCTTACATTGGTAGGTAATATGTTTCATTGTCCAAACTAAATCTGACAGAAGTTGAAGACAAAAGAGGTAATCTTACCTGACGAAACATGAATATGTTGCCCAGGAAAGGCATTGGCTTTGGGTGTTTGATGCCACATCGTGAAAGGACTGAATATGGGTAGATTGAATACCTAGAAGACAGTGCACAGAGTTGTATCGATGAATGAAAATAGCGCTGTTAAGAGTCGGCAAAACAATAGTGGAGTACAATTAAATCTCCAGTTGGTTCCCTGGTCAACAATATTATAAAGTGTTCCTTCAAGAACCTCATCTATCTGAAACCCAGCATGCAAAGCTGCAACAATCAGATCTGATGAGTGAGGAGGTTGCTTATCTGCATTTCAAGAAGGAATGTGCTTTATATTATTAGTATATTACACAATATTGACTTCATTCCCACAGCCACTGCAGCAACCCAACACAGAGGTTTGAAGTATTCACTCACCAGTAAAGCAGACCCAGGAAGATGAGGCCGAGGCTAAACGTCACCGTCAGTCCACTGGCCTTGATGTGGAAAACATTTAGATAGTCAATTAAAGCCTCCATAATGTAAAAACTCCTCTCAGTTCTCCACTGCCAGCATTAGGTCAAGACACCTGGAAAGAAGGAAAGAGAAAGAAATCAGGTCGGTGTCTATCCATTTATAATAAATACTAAACAAGTAGAACACATCTCAAATTTCACAATATTTAAAAGCCCTACTTCTTCAAGAGAAGAAAGCATGGGCGTCGCAGCAATTATATGAGGGTGGGACAAGTCCCCCCCACTTTTTCAAATGATTAGTTTAGACCCCCCCACTTTTACTATGCGGAAAGTCCGTGAATCGGTCTATCCACTCGCCGCACTTTGTAGAGCGCTGTGTCAGTGCTTCACTATCAAATGAAATCCATTCCACTTGCTTATTGAGAGAATGCCCAAATCAATGAAACTCCGTACCATGTTTTCACTGCTACTTTGTACCAAGGCAGATTCTCACATAGCGCGCATGTTCAAGGAGTGTTGTCATAGTTGGACAGCTCAGATCTGTTGTATGAAGCGATGCCGGTAGCGGAGGTAAGGCACACACACCAAATGATCAGGAAAAGGTTAATACAGCGAAAATCAAAGCTGACGATCTCTTGGTTTGATATGTTTTCTCCCCCAGACAACATGGACATAAGAACATTTTTTTCAAAGAAGAGGAAAGTAAGTCATCAGCTGGTAGCAGTTAATCAGTTAACAGTGATGGCGGCGTCTCACTTCTGGAGAGGAGTTTCGTCTTTATGTTCATGATAGAGAGATACAAATACTGAATAGTTTAGATGAGAAAAGGCATCGAAATGCCAGGTTACTAGTATTTATCATGTAAACATGGAACATGAATAACCCGATCTCTCTGTGCTCATGTAAACACCATATCCCCAATATGATCATAACCGGGATAATACTCATAAACGGCTTACTGATGTCCATGTAGAGACGCAGTCAGTGTGTTTTACTGGAGCCTCAGTTCGATAAGAGATTCTTTTCTGAGTTCTTTAACTACTCTCTCTCAAAATGGTAATGTACATTATGTTTTAATTATACTTCTTATCATTCAGAAGCTTTTTGTGTGTGTTTATGTTTTACTGAGTGCTTATAGGCAATTTCCATCCCAGTATTCAGTTAACTATTTATTTTCTGTGCACATCACATAGACGAGCTAATATTCTACCTACTGCTTGGGACTTTGAGTCTTCAAAATGTCCAATGTCACAGACTGGGACTTACTTTAGAGTCAGTTGTATTTACATTCAGTATGACTTGTTATGATTCAATGTGAAAGAGTATACTGATCAATAAATAATTATCACTTCACCACCTCTCTTGACATCTAGGCACTTGCGAGTGAGTCAGAGGCAGAATACAGGGACAGTGGAGAGAGGTCCATTGCTGAGGTGAGTGATGAAAGGGAAATGACAGTTGAGAGTAAATTGTGATGTGGACTCTCATGCCAGGATTTTAAGGAAATCAGTGGGGATATTGAACAGGAAACATTTCAGTCAAGGGCATCATATGACCAATATAGACAGAAGAGCAACATTTATTTGAACATTTAAGTCAATGATACCATTGCTAGGTGAACTGAACATCCGTATGGAGTCAGATCAGTCTCAATATTAATAAATGCTCACAGAAGGATTCACAAATGTATTTTGCGATTTATATATAAATGACTCTCCACAACAATATCTCTCAATGCACTCACAAATATTTATTGTTGTATATAAATGTACAAAAAATGGGCATTTAAACTGCTTTTTATTAATTCAAAGACAGCTCTGAATTAATAATCAAATATGTTTCCTTTCTTTACTACTGGATGAAATTACAAAATGTACCCATCATTTTCCTCACACATAAAAGTATCAAACCACCTGTTAAAATGCACCAGAATACAGGAAATCTATATATTTTTTCGCCCCCACACCCCCCCGTTAAAAATGTCCCCCCCACATTCAGGATGCTTCCTACGCCCATGGAAGAAAGCATCAGTCACATAATATATTTTGGTGGACTATGCTCTCAGGCTTTTTTGTTTTGTATCAATAGTTGTCTGGTTTACCATAAACACATGTTAATGATTTGTTCAAGCAGCTTTGTTTTTGTTGTGTTCACCTTTCACCTCAAACGGAAAGGTTTGAAAAGTACGGTGAAAAGTACTCCGGTGTGAACGCGGCTATGGGGGCTAGTACCTCTTATACTGAGCTATGTTCGTGCGTTTGGATCCTCTCAACATGCCACAATTCAATAGCAAACACGTAAGAATATTGTTTTTACAACCTGAGTACGGATCCTTAAACAGTTAACCAATTAGCCTACATTTATTTGAGGTGAAATACAGCGTTTAAATACCCAGACGTCACTCTGTAGGTCATATGTGATGCTAAATTACTAGCTACAACAAAATATGGCATATTGTATGACTTACTCTTTAATGTCTCTGCAGCACGTCGTCTAACTGTTTTCATGTAACGTTATCATGTCATCCCGCTTCTTTATAAGACATTAGCAAACATCAGTCCATGGTCATACTGCTCCTTTTCATAATGGTCCTCTTCGTCCTGTAATAGTTCGCAGCACCAGAGACAGCTGAGGCTCATACTGCCACCTACTGGACGGGCAGCGTTGTATAAGTCATGCAGCAACATATTACTTTGGCGCCCCCCTCCGGACAAACAACGTCTTTGTTCTTCAGCTGTTTTGTGTAATCCAAAAACAGCACTGTATTTCCTCCATTTATAATAATTTAGTAATGATCATAACATCTCCACATCTTCGGTTTCAACGTTTTTGGTATGTGAGCAGAAGGCATCCTTTTGTTTGTCTTCAACCCAAAAATACTGATTTATTCATGAATGTATTTGGTATACATATATCTGTGACCTGCTTTGCGTCAGGCCTGTCAGGAGTTGGTTGCTAATTATACTGGAAGCTATGTGTAAATTACAATCCTACGTTTCTTCTTACCATGATTGATTTGTATTGATTTAAAATGTAGTGTGTAGTGTGTATCTGTGAGGTTTGATCATCTCTCATGGGTTTACTCCTCTTTCTTTGGCTGTTTCTCAGAACTCATGGATATATGTCAAAGCTTTAATATGGATATGGACTGATTAAAAAAGAAATATATATATATATATATATATATATATGTGTGTGTTCTGGGTTTTACAAATAATCCATAAGACTCAGTTCTTATACGACTTAGCAGCATTTTAGCCACTATATATTTGATGACACCTGAAGTTACTTTTTAAACAACTTCACATTATCTAAATAAAAAGTATTTAAAAAGACATCTCAAAACAGAAAGATTGATTTCCAGGTGTTTTATTGAATTCAACAACAAAACCGTGAAAGTGAGAGATCAGGGTGATACCGCTGCATCCACTCTCAGGAGACCCAGGACTTCCAAAGACACAGGAGGAGTTCTAAAAGAAGAAACAAAAATGTCTTTTTACTTTGCATTATGTAAGAGTTCAGCATATGGTAACTCTTTAAGTGTCTATTGCTTTTTTTGTAATCTTAAAATACTTACATAGACTGAAACACAGACGACTATCTCTCCAGAGGTAAGCCTGGATTTGCTGCAGGAACATTGTGTCTCTGTATGAGAAATGAATGAAACGTGTTTAACAGAATGAGCAACAATTTGAATGATTAAAAAAAGCAAAGTAAGACTTGTAGGAAATGTCTGTATTGTTGTCATTACGTGTTACCTGTCTGATCTCCAGTTTGTCCTGCAGGTCGGATGGGAGCGGTTCCTGGTTCGCCAGGGTAACCCTGCATGTACTGCACTTTATGTCAGTCTGAGGCTCACACTTACCTTTTACTGTACAGTGATCAGCAGGCTCAGGGGGTGGAGTGCAGAAGAGAAATATAAAGAATAGTTAGTAAATAGGAAAAGTGATACATGTATGAATGAGTGTAGCTTACAGGGTGCAGACAGTTTACATCAAAACATTACATTTGCTTTCTTTGCATTAAATCCTACTGTAGTGTTTTTATCCACAGAGAATCGCAGCAGCTCAGGGGAAGGAGGTAAGAGGAAATATATCAAATGTTGAGTAAGACAGATCATATTTCAATTTTGAATCAATGACATCACAAAAGTATTTTGTTTATTATTGTTTTCTCTAGCTTGCACTTACCTTGATGTCCACAGTGAATGGCAGCAATCTCTGAATAAAAAACACTTATTACATTTATAAAGACAAACTTAGATTAGTGGAAAGACAAACAGGGGTAGCATATGCAGTGGATATATTTTTTACTTTAAGTCAGACATTTGTACTCACGTTTTTCTCCAAGGTGTAGTATGAGTAAGTAATGGTTACTAAAACATGATCCGATCTTTAAAAAAAAGTATTGATAAGCATACAGATATTACACACAGTAACACATATTTCATACTTTGACTTTCCATTGTAGAAAATGCCAAATCACCTTGTCAGAAGTTCTTACTTACCTGTTTTCATCCACATTGAACAGCAGAGTTTATCTGTGATTTACTGAACAGAGGCCAGTACTACGAAGCTGGTTCAACCTAACCTGGATATGTTTGAGTTAGCCGGTTGGCCCAATCCAAAACATACGCGCTCTGGCTAAACTGTACTACGACGCTGGTTATCAAGTGGATCGCTCAAGCCAGCCGTGTCCTATCTAGTTAGGTGCGCGTATACATGAAAGGGGTGGTATTTGGAGCATTCGACCAATCTCAAACACGGACAAGCGTACTGACAGCGCAGCGTCATACTTCCTGAATGAAAAGTGAACTTTAATATTAGTCAAATATGAAGAAGTTAAACTTTAAACATCCATGACTTAAACACTTTATCCAGGATAAAAGCCACATAGCTGCACCTGCAAGGTGAATACAGCTGGTAAAAGAAAAAGTGTTTGAATGCGTACATTAACAGGTTTATGAAATCACTGCCCCGTCCAAGACACGAGTGGATCTGACTTTAATTAGGAGAATTTGACTCGAGTGTTTCATCAACTTAATGTGTTGCTTAAAATAATACTTCTGCATACAGTATGTGACACTGTGAGTGTTGCACGGCCAGATACGACTCAAGAAGCTGACTCAAATAAGGAAATATATGATACATGATGTGATATGATATGAATGATAATGGGACACATCGACGTCTGCACTCACAGTGCCGCGGACTGTACTTAATGTTACTCTGATCCGGTTACTTATGTCGTGGCAGATATTTAAGTAAGCTTTCTTAACGCTAATATTATAATAGTCAGATTGCTCTGAAGATGGGAGGGGATATTCTATTAATTTTCACGTTCACACAGTCAGTTGATTTTGGCCGGCCGTCTTTCCTGCAACGGCAGTTTTTCTGTATTTCCTCTATTCTGTAATATGAATTGATCGCTTTAAACTCTGCACACGGAGCTCTGATTGGTCAGCAGGCGGTGCTTTCACTGAGTTGATCTCTTAGCCTGCCACCTAACCTGCTCCGGAGCAGGTTTGCCGCACAGCATAAGTTACCATGGAAATCTAGCCTGCTAAAAAGAGAACCAGCGTCGTAGGACCGGAAAGCCCGAGATTTCCCTGAAGTTAGCCGGCTAAGCGAAAATCCAGCTTCGTAGTACAGGCCTCTGGTGATATACTGTAATATAAACAAACAGATTTAGTGTACAGTTTCGAGGTAGGTAACATGATATTACTTTCTGTGTTTTTTATAATAAACTATTTCAGGATACTTTCTCTACAAGACAGAAGCTCATACTTATCTTTTTTGTCCTTAGTGAACAACAGCAGCTCAATTGGTGGAGTAAGATAAGAGTGAAGTAAGGACAAAGATGGTAAGCAAGACATATGATCTCTGAATGATTGAATATTTAAAATATCATATATTTTATAAAGTTACTGTACATTTTTTGGCCATATTAAATTGACAGGAAGGACCGTTTGAAGTGGGATTGTTTGAGGTAATTCTCCATAGTCAGTGTATTTCCTCAGTAGATGGAGGTCGGCACGTCCCGAGTTTGAGCACGGAAGTAGAGCAATGTACTGTTGTGTACCTTTGTGGGACTTTGGTGGATTCAAACTAGAGAGTTTAAGTCACACAATTACATATACTAACTAACAGATCGTGGCAACGTTAAACCAGCAGCTCCTGTGTTCTGCGAGGTCAAAATGACTGTTTTGTGACTTGCTTCACTTTCCCATTGGAAAGGGAAGGTAAACTGAGTTAAAGTATCTATACAGTGCATATAGCATTGCTTAAACTGAAATAGCTTTTTTAAGGTGAGCCTTTCTTTTAGATGGGAGCTGTAAACATCGATCCACCGTGCAACAAAAATGAGAAGATGGTACACCAAAAATCCAAGACGTTTCCTGGGTGGCAGCCCCGCAAGACGCACAGGCTACCTGAGGCTTTACTTGCCCAGCCAGACGCAAAGGCCAGCTGCAACATGTAGCTCCTGTGTTCTATGAAGTAAAAGTGCCATGTCTTCTCTTTGATGGTGTTGCTTTTTTCCTGCTGCTTCTTAGGTTGTCAGTGCAGTGGTTTTCAGTGATGGCTTTTGTTTGACCTTGGGAGCAACAGACAGCAGACTGCAGCGTCTTCCAGGACACACAGTGCTGTCAGCTTTACTGTGAGGGCATGACATGAGGGTGAGTCAGGCAAACCCACCATCAAGGTGAAGGCTCCAAGGTGAAACGTCGATCCACCGTGCAACAAAAATGAGAAGATGGTACACCAAAAATCCAAGACATTTCCTGGGTGGCAGCCCCGCAAGACGCAAAGGTTACCTGAGGCTTTACTTGCCCAGCCAGACGCATAGGCCAGCCCTGACATATAGAAAAGTGTCAATCAAATCAGTGCAAGACGCTTCCTGGACCTGCCCCGCCAGACGCAAAGGCTACCTGGGGCAGCGCCTGCCCTCAGAATAAAAGGAAGAAAGATTGACAAACAAAAAATAAGACAGTACACCAAAAAAAGATCCGAAGGCAGCCCCACAAGACGCAAAGGCTACCAGGTGAATCATTTGGTCCAGTTGTGAAGTGGAAGAGATGATGGGCAGATATTGCTCTGATGATCAAGGAGGATTATCAGCCCATCCATTGCAGACTCAATCCGAATCGCAGTCCGCGGACCACCGTCGCCTCTTCGCAGCAGACTCCTCTTCCGCCTCCTCTTCCCCCTCCTCGTCGCTAATTTCCCTGCATCTTCTTCTGGAGTAGCCGGGGCCATAACATGAGGGAGATCCAGGAACGACAGAGTCTTCGGGCTTCTCTGAGAAATCTTCAAGGGAGAGTGGCCCAACATCAAAGACAGGGCTGTCATATGCAACATCTTCGTCCTCCTCCTCATCCTCAGACGACTGCCCGTCCAAGTACCTGTTAAGAAACGCCTCAACAGCAGGGTCCTCTACATCATCTAAAGGATTTGCGTAATAGGAATGGTCATCGTAAGCGTCAGCCTGGGGGTAGGCAGGAGCAGCATAGGGGTAAGCATTAGGAGCAGCGTAAGGTGAAGGAGCAGCATAGGGGTAAGCATTAGGAGCAGCGTAAGGACAAGGAGCAGCGTAGGGGTAAGCATTAGGAGCAGC